GTGGAACATTGAACTTTTCGATATAGCAACGTATTTATTTAATTTTCTTACCAAGGTGTTATGATTTTTACTTACATTCATAATTTTACTTTAACTTCCATGCCTTTAAGTTTACAGTCACAACTGATATGGGGATCAGTGAGGAAATTTTTGAATCTAAGTGAAGGAACGGAGCATAAATGTTAGATTAGGTTTAGTTTTTTAGATTAGACTTTGTAGTATGTAGTACCACTGAGAACCTGACATTTCTGCCTTGCGCAGTGGTGGACACTGGGGTTTAAAGTACTGCTTGATTATGACATCATTTACTTATATATTCTTTGGCCGGTGGGTGGTTGGGAAGCATTCATCAGAAAATCTGTGAATTAGTGTGTCAGAAGTGATCTAAGTTTCTAAGCAACAAATTAGGCAGTAATATTAAGGTTCGGAATAGTTGCGTGGTGACACTCCTGTTTTTTTTTTCGCGCTTCGTTTTTTGTTTTAATTTTATTCTTTTAGTGCTATGTGGGGAAGATACCGAAAGAAATTTATGAAGATACGTTGATACCACTCTTTGAAGAATGTGGGAAAATCTGGGATTTGAGGTTGATGATGGACCCAATGACCGGAAGAAACCGAGGGTACGCGTTCGTAACCTTCTGCGATAAGGCTGCAGCAGCGGAAGCTGCAAAAAAGGTAAATGTTGCTTTCTAACATTTCTTCCGTGACTTTACTTTGATTCCTATTTTCTAAGCCGTTTGCGTTTGTCTGGACGTTGCTTGTGTCCCACCTACATGCTCATTTTGCTTGGCCAGTGCTTGGTTCTTTACGTTTTGCATTTTGACAGTAGAGGCATATATGGTGAATGAGAACACTAGACTTTTTTGGGGTGTTTTATACCTTAGTGTGGTTTTTTAGAATCATTTATTTGGTTAAGAAAGGTAGGTTTTAGAACGCAATTTTTTTCGTGAGGTGGTTTCAGTGTATTATTCAGTAATTTTATATTATTTTAGTCATTTTTTGGCTCACTTTTGGTGTTCCCGTTTCCATCCTTTTCGGCATTTCTGACGCAGCAAGAAAGAAAATGCTGCCAAATTTACAAAAGAAATTTTTCTAGTATGATGGATACGAAATTCAGCCTGGAAAAAATCTGAAAGTGAACATCAGCGTTGCCAACACTCGTCTCTTTATCGGGAATATTCCAAAGTCGAAGTCAAAAGAAGAAATTCTTGCCGAGTTTAAAGAACATGCAGGTAAACAATGAGATGAAGTTTCATCACTTGATTTCAGATGCGGGGAAGAAAATTTGGGAAAATTATAATCTCAGGGTAAGGTTAGGGTAAGGTTTTTTGCGTCAGGGTTCGCTTTGCATGACTTTTTGCAAAGTGTTTCCCATCCTGTGCTCTGCTGTCAAGTAAGTTCTTGAAGCTTTTTAACCTGCTGAAATCTGTTGCACATTTTTGCACGGACTACGATTTTTTCAGAGGGTGTTGTTGACTGTATTATATACTCAAGCCCAGATGCAGCAGAAAACCGGAAAAACCGTGGTTTTTGCTTCATGGATTTTTGTGACCACAAAAGTGCGTCTGACGCCAAGCGAAAGATTCATGCAGGAAAAGTGAGTTTTCATTGGACTCTTGGTGTTGTTGACTTTCAGGTGTGTGAGACTAGTTTTTTTTTTTTCAGCTACGCCCCTGGAACATTGATTTGGTCGTCGACTGGGCAGAGCCACAAGAAGAACCAGATGAAGAAACAATGTCGAAAGTAAAGGTCCTTTACGTGCGTAATCTGAAAGAAGCCGTCACTGAGGAACAGTTAAAAGAGATGTTTTCTGCGCATGGAGAGGTTGACCGTGCAAAGAAAATACGCGATTACGCTTTTATTCATTTCATGGAAAGGGAGCCCGCTATTAAGGTATAAAACATTTTACTGCACGAAGTGTAATTGTAACTTTAAGAGACATTCCATTGCAGGCAATGGAAGCATTAAACGGGACAGTGCTTGAAGGCGTGGCAATTGATATTTCGTTAGCAAAACCACAGAGCGACAAGAAGAAAATGATGAGAGGGCGAGGTCGTGGTTTTGGTGTCCGAGGTGGGTTCGGAGATTTTGGGGCAGGATTCGGACCCAGAGGTGGTGTAAGGGGAAGAGGTAGTGCGACATTCGGTGGCGCTTATGGAGCTCCTTCAGGATATGGTGCATATGGCGGGTACGACCCATATGGTGAGCCTAAAATAGCGTAAAAAACTGTACTTTTAAACTTTTACACCCTTTACTCTTTCGTTCCCCATCTTTTATCTTATTTGAAGTCATTTCCAAGATGTCTTTCATCCAGCTGGTTATGGCGAGTACGGTTACGCGGCAGGTGGATACGGAGCCTACTCGTATGACACATACGGTTATCCAGACCCTTATGGCGGCTACGGTTATGGGGCTTCACCAGTTAGCGGCCGTGGTGGAAGGGGTAATGGGATTCAGGTAGGATTGTAGTAAAGAATTCTCATGTTTGTCGTCAAGATTTGAAATAAGGATCTGCTGTGCTCTTTTATACTTATGGTCTGCATTGTAAATTTTTCTCACTATCAGTGTTTGCTTTATATGGAATTTATATATTCCAGAGCGGGTTTACACAGCGAGGAACTGCAGGCAGGGGTCGTGGAGGACGTGGAATAACGCGTGGGAGTGCTTCGTCCCGTGGTGTCAAACGACCAGGTGATGGTGCTGGGGGGCCTGCTTTAAAGAGGGATTTTAACGACTTTTCTGCCGACTCCAGTATGGCCTACTTCTGACTTATACTGACCTAATCTGTGTTTTTAATGCACATTTATTTATTTATTTATAACCCTTCAATGTACAATATCTCTGACCACCGCAACTAAAAATCAATTAATATTTAAAATTTTGTTGCGGCAATAATCTCTTGCTTCTATTTGTACCTAACGGGAAATATCTATAGTCAAATTCTGTTGTTATTCATTTGTTGACGCTATTTTGATTTTTGCCGTCAAAAAATAAATAGAGTCCCCTCCGGCGCTACATCCATTCAGTCTGCGTTTAGACCGAAGAATAGAATGAAATCGTCTAACAGTAAAGATCAATTCCTCTGCCACGTTATTTCTGATTTTTGCTTTTACTTTTAACCGTTGCTTTTGTAGAGAAGACTGGACGTTAGCGACTCAAACGTGGGGAAACTACAACATGTTTCGTAAAGCAGGTGAAGTGACACATTAGATCTACGCTTAACTCCAGCCTGTGGCCTCTTTTTAACTCTAATTTCTTCAGCGCTTATGCTTCCCGGTAGAGTTCCTGCAGAACGGATAGCTCTGTGGTAGTTGGAGCACGAAGTGGATTTTTCCCACTTGAAGAGTAAAATCGCATGAAATCAGAGGTTGAGGCGCACTGAAGAAGGGAATCAAATCCAGTCCAGAATGTTAGGTTGAAGCGGTTAAGGGTTGGAGTGACTTCCAGTACATGCGTTAACTGACCTTTCGAACAAGTAAGAATGACTGGGTGGCGATTGGGCGGTGGACTTAAATTGGCGGGGTCACGCCCTGATCTGGCATGCGTGCAGTTCATCAGTTTCCGACGGCGCAAATCAAGATAGTGCATCTTATTTTCACTTTTCTCTTTCCCTTTCTTTGAAGAATTCTTGAAGTTCGATTGCGTTCTTCAGTGCTGTTTTATTGCTCTTGAGAAGTTAACTTTATGGTTTTAATAAAGCTCTTGTATGAATTTCCGTTGTTTAGCTGCAGCTCAAAGAGACCAAAGCCAGAAGTTTGAGAGTTTGAAGTTTTTTTAGCCAATAGGCTGAGTTTCTTAAGGACGCGGCGTGGACGTCACTTCAGCTTAAACTAACTTAAGGTGGGGTTGTGTGCTCAAAAACAAGATCAGGCAAGTTATGGATTGGAAACTTTCGCTCAGCCTTTCGGCATAAGATTCCATATCCCCATAAGATTTTCCATAAGGTGCGCGCAATCAGTAAATTGCAGAAGTGCTAAGAGTGACATGGCTCGCTTAAAATTGGAAAGAAGAGTGGTGCGTTGAGTGACCGGTGCCTTTGCCACAGGGCTTGTAACTCCAGAGGGTGTGGTTTGCTGCAGCCCTGCTACAGTTTTATAAAAGTGCTCAGAAGCCCCAAATAATGTTAGTTTTTTAACAACAACAGACCGAGAACAGGGCGTATTTCGGTGTAAGTCTAAGATGAGGGCGATCTGTGATTTCACTAACTTATTTTTCAAAAACAGTAATTTCGCGGCTCATTTCCAAGATATTTGTTGGATTTTATTTTTTGTAATTATAGTTTTTTTAAAGACTGAGAAAGCGAGATACTTCATTGAAGGACCCTCTGTTTACCAGAGGTCTGAGAACCACTGCTAATAATCTGCTTACTGCAGGTTGCTCAACGGTGTTTTCTTTGTTTGGTAATCCACAGACCAGACCTGAATAACCGCAATTATCTGTCAGTTAACGAATCATTTGCTTCCAAACAGTAATAAATCGCCCGGTTACGTCGCTATTACTCTGCCGTTCCGCTTCTGACCCTGTTTTTACTACAGGCTATGTTGGTGCCTTGCATGCAGCTGCTGTCCCACCCCTCTTGCCGTGCTCGTCTCACTGTATCACTGTTTAGTCCTTCGTCCGCTAACCTGATTGCTAGCTGCAGAAAAGTGAAGTAAAGGGAAAGAAGACTTGAGAAAGTGGAATAGAGTATAATGAGAAATAAAAAAAAAAAAGACAAGAAATAGAAAAAGAAGATAAAACGTACAAAAGAAGGTGACTGAGAATGCAGAAAGTAGGACTATGGAAAGAAAATTACGAGAAAGGATGCAGGGAAGGACACAGGAAAGAGAGGAAGATTGCGGGAAAGACAAAAGCCAGAGGATCATAAAGTAGTAGAAAGAGAGGAAGAGGGGAGGGAAACGGTAGATAGGAACGACCAGGAACTGCGAAAACGAGGCAGGAGGAAGGCAGTAGAAGATGTGGAGAGTGAGAAAAACAAAGACTTAAAAAGGAAATGAGAGAATTGAAAAAGGAAGTGTAAGTAATGGAGTGAGGTGAAGAGTGGGAACAAAGAAAATCAAGGAAATGCATTTAAAGTACACTGAAAGAGACGCTGGTTAAAATTTAAAAAAAGAGCAGGAAAAAGGGAAGAAAAAGAGCGGAAAGGAGACAGAAAAGGATGGAAGGACAAAAGAGAATTAGAAAGATTTGGCATTTATTTGAACCATGGATGTATTCCCGATAAAAGTTTTTATGTTGGGAGTGTGTATTATTACTGGAGGAGCAGGTGGGGCTCTAGGAGAACTTTCGTGTGATAGACGGAGAATCTGCCGCGTAGCCGTGAAAGAAGTGGTAGTCATTATTCATAAAAAGCAATCTGGTCCTTCGCGGGTTCTTTTGGCATTTTTTATTGGAGGTCTTCGGACATAGGGGGAGTTATAATTGCAGTTTAAAACGCTCTTCAAACAGCTAACAAATATTCCGGCTTCAACTTGGGAAGAACCGAGGTGTGCTCGTCTGTTACGATAATAATCCATTATGAGAAATGATGCAATAAGTTCTGGAAAAATTTTCAGTTGAGTTCTGACCAAGTGAAGTAAATACAGCAAAGAAATTTCTAGGTCCAGAACATCTGAAAGTTCAAGTTCAAAGTTCAAGTTCTAGTTGAATTTTCTAGTTGACCATACGAAAAGCAAATGCTAAAGGTCAGGCACAAGGTGAAGGTATAAAATCTGAAGCGCAAGGAAGAAATTCCTCATCGTTCTTTAGTATTTCAGTTACAGTTTAGCAGGAAGTAATTTTTGGTGAAATGTACATTTTTTGTAAAACTTTCCTCTGCTACTTCTAGTGGACTACCTTAATCGCAAAGTGAAAACATAAAGAAGTTCAGAGAAAATTATGGGTAATTCTATTGGGAAATGGATAAACTTGGTAGCGACTAGGATTAAGCTGGGGTCCTCTTTCCGTTGCCTCATCAAGATGAACAAAGATTTGGCCCCGTCAATCTTTTATGGATGCGTCCCTTAAAGATTGCTCAGAAGGGTCGTACTTCAGCTTTGCCTTTCCTGTATATCAAAATTAAAATGTATACGTGTTGGCAGACCTTGATGATTTCACTTAAACTGGTTGAAACGGTTGGATCGGCACTCCGTATTCGAAATGGGCGCTGTAGCGTGCTATGTGCTGTGAGTCCTACATCTAACTTAGGGTCTCACAACCACTTCTACTAATCCATTCACTGGCTTACAGGCCTTGTCCTAAGCTTTGATCAGATTGTCTTTGAAATAACTGCGACGAGTAGAAATAGGTAGAACGAAGTTGCCGATTTGACACCTACTAGAAAACTTTACCTATTGTTAACTACCGTTATCAGTAATTTGAAACACTTTTGTTTATGGCGATTTACTGTATGCTAACTACAGTATTCCGCCCCCTTTCTGAATTGTTTGTGTTCATAGGATCCTAAAGTGTCCTACCTATAGTTTCTTACTGTGCTATCCACCGTCCCCCGACTACTACCTATCGCTCAGGAAATCCGGTGGATAATTTTATTCTTTCCTAATTAACCTGCAATGCAGTAGTAATGCAAAACTACTAATAGTGAATACAGAACTTGATGCAGTAAGAGGAGAAATCGAAGAAAAATTTGAACAAAAGCGTGATAATAAAGTTAAAAAACACCAAACCAATGATTTACTATTGAAAACTATAATTAAGGAGAGTCATGACTTAAATTTAGAAGCTGCTAAATTTAGACGCGACAGGACGGCTTCAAAAAACACTTTCACTTGTAGGAAAGAAACTTAAAACATCTGGATTGCTCTAGCCAACCCGAAAACTTATTTGAAGGAATTCTTACACTTTATAATTTTAGTGTGGGCCATCTTTAATGTGCTCTGTC